TGACCCTTATTTTGAATTCTTTTTCAGGAAGATTGGTTCAATCTATCTCTCCAGGCTCTCTCTCAGAGGTTGTCTGGGTGATTCTGGACTTCTCCGCTGTCTGTGCCAGTTACCCACACACTGGGAGCAGGCTCCTGGTTAATTTCCTGAGCTGTGGTGGGCAGGGCAGCCCAGAGCCCTGAGGGAGAGGCAGGTGCACCAGGTGTGCTCTGCTGCTTAAATGGTGCCCCTTTGCACCCTGCCCTGGCTTCCTCTGCCTGTGCTGGGCAGCTGCTCACCGGCAGTGGCTTTTGGATCTGGCCCGGGCGGCTACACGCTGGGAAGAGGCTCTGGGCAGCTGCTGGAGGCGCGGCCGCTCCCAGGCTGCTCTGCTGGGGCTACGCAGGAGGAGGAATGAACGGTAGGCTGTTTATCGCTGTGAGGGGCTTCAGAGCTGCGCTGCCTCCCAGGGTGCTGGGGTGCCTGGAGTTCCTCAGTATTCCCAGCCTGCTGGGCCGAGTATGCCAGGACGATTCCATCTAGCTGTGAAGCTCCTGTCCCTTTAAGACTTTCAAAAAGCACTCGCTTTTCTTTTGTCCCATGGGAGCTGGCTGTGGGGAGTTGCTCACAGATTTAATTTTTCAGTTTACCTAATATCCAGCACACGGTGCATTGTGTGTCTGTGCTCCTGGTGCAGATGACTAGGGCTGGGTATTTAGCAGTCCTGGGCTCCCTCTCCCTCCCCGCTCCGACTCCTTTCATCCAGCCGGTGAGCTGAGGTGGAGGTAGCACTCAGGTCCCCCCGGGCCGCAGTTTGTATCTTACCCCCTTCGTGAGAAGCTGAGTTCTTGCAGATGTAGATGTAGCCTGGCTGTTGTACTGTATCCTATCGTCTCTCTGTTAGGCGTAATTTTATTTGTTGTACTTTCAAAAATATATATGGTTTTGGGAGGAGATTTCCACTGCCCTACTCACGCTGCCATCTTCCCAAAATCAAGTTCTTTTCTTTTTTACCTGTTTTTCTTTCAAGAAGGGAACAAATCTATAGAAAACCCCATGGTAAATTGGTGCCTTCAGTTAGAAGTCAGGAGGTCCCCTCCAAATCTGTGCTTGCCCTCACCCAGCTTGGGTTCCTCAGCCTCCCTCCCTCCGTGAGTGGGTCCCTGCCTCCCTCATTAACGGCCTCCTGGGGGCTCCTGATTCTTCTTGTCCATCATACCCACTGTGGCCATCTCCAGCGTGCTCAGCCTGGGCCAGCACACAGAGTGAGCTAGTTCAGCAATCCCTGACCCTCCTGATGACCTGCCCCACCTCTCCCTTTTTGCTCCTCCCATCTCACCACTCCTTTCTAGAGCATCGAATTGCTGCTTCTGCTGAAGGGGCCTGGCGAGATTCCCGAGAAAAAAATCATGTAAAGGCGCCTGCCAAACAGCTTCACCAGAAGTTTACACTCCTCAGCATCAGCTGGGCTTTTGCTCCTGCTTCAGACTCTCTTTGTTCATCTTGTATAGGTTTCCTAACACATCCACCACAGTGGCCAATCCACAACTCTCCCTTGGTCTTGCTTCCTAATTCCCCAGAAAATTGAGGCCATCCCACGTGAATTTCCTTGGTTTCCCTCTTCCCGACTTCTAAGTCCTGTCTTTGTGTAGCCTAATGATGTCTGCCATCATTTCTGTGTCTGAGCATGTGGAATTCTTCCTTGCTGCCAGACTCCCATGCTCTCCGCCCCAACCCTCTTCCCTCCTCTCTGGGACCCTCCTTGATAGATTTATCCCAGGCTCTTATATATGCAGTATCTCCCCCTTGCTCTCAAGCATTTCTCTCCTCTCCTTTTTCTGAACCATCTGCCTTCAGGCTATTGCCCTGTGGTCTTCCTTCTCATAGACACACTTAGATTGTGGGTTCAGTTTCTTGCCATGAGTCTTATCCCCACCCCAATCCATTCAGTATGCTGAGCTCCTATGATGTAGAAATGCAACTCCAACCATGTCTTTCACATGCATAAAATACTTATATGACTTCTTTTTTAAAAAATTATTTTATTTGCCTTTTAAATAACAGCTTTAACTAGGTATGATTTATATATTGGACAATCCACCCATTTAAAGTGCACAATTCAGTAGTTTTTAGTATGTTCACAGAGTTGTGCCACAATTAGCACAGTTAATTTTAGAATATTTACATCACCCCCAAAAAAAGCCCTGTAGCCTTTAACCATGACCCTCCAGTTCCTTCATCCCCCAAGCCCCCAATAATCAATCAACTTTCTGTTTCTATGGATTTGCTTATTCTGGACATCTTGTATGAATGGAATCACATAGTATGTGGTCTTTCTGTGATGGCTTCTTTCACTTAGCATAGTGTTTTCAAGGGTTATCCCGGCTGTAGCACAGTGACTGCCATTTGCTCTTTGGTTAAACATCAAATCCCTGATGTATCTGTAAGCCCTGCATTACGTGATTCCTCTGCACCTGTCTAGTCTGATTTCTCACTGCTCACTACCTTGTACTTTTGCTTCAGCTGAATGGAACTTCTCAAATGTGCCCCTGTGTTCCTTTCCTGAACCCCCCTCCCTTGCCCTTCATTTTGCCTGGAAAACTCATGTCCTTTCAGTCCCCTTCATTCATGGACTCCGTGTGCTTTGGTAAGTTTGCTCTGACCCTCCGTGTCTTCCCATGTGCTGCCAGCATCCTCTGCGCTTATGTGACCACAGTATTTGGTGGACTGGCTGCATTTGCCACTGACTTGTCTGTGTCCCCGCTGGACTGTGACTCCAGGAAGCCACATCAGCCTCTACCCCCATGCTCGACACTTGGGTGCTCCCGGAGACCTGAGCCCTGGACCTCCTTGGAGAGAAATCGAGTCTGGCCTTTTCCTCCTCTTAATGGTCTGGGATCTGTCCTCACCACTCCCTGAACTCTCTTGAAGGTCACCAGCCCCTTTTTGGTTTGGCCTCCTTTGCCTTAATCTCACTGTAGCATTTGCCACTGTGACCTGACACTGCCTTTATGCTTCCCCTGCTTATGCAACTCTCTTTCCTTCTCTCCTGTGGCTCCTGGTCCTCCTCCAAGCCCTTGCAGATGGGTCTGCTCTAGTTCTGCGTTCAGACTTCTCTCTCTGCTCTGTCTTCCGCTCCTGCAGCTCCACCTGTCACCTGCGTGTGAGTAAATGATTACCAGTCTGTCGGTGTCACTTGGATCCCTTTCCTGAGTCTCACATGTGTTTCCAGCCATGCGATTGACATCCTCACCTACATATATTTCCAGTGCCTTAAAACTCACAGTCGTCTTGTCATGGGTCCCTGTGCACGTTTGAGCCCTGAGAATGCTGAGTCCCTCCCACCTGGCTGACTCTCAACAGCATCTCACGCAGTCTTCCCACCTCATCCCTCCCCACTGAGCACTTGTATTCAGTCCAGTTTGTATACACATTGAATATCACTGCTATCAGATAATTTTTCTAAAGCACAGTTCTGGCCATTTTTTTTTCTCAGGGCTTCCCTTTACTTACTAAATTGACTTGGAAGTCCTCTACTGGTGTCCAGAAACCTGTAAAAAGGGCTTCAGCTACCTTTTCAACCATTCCTTTCATTCCTCATCTGCAGACCCAAGCCCCCACTCGTCTTGCACACTCTATGCCTGTGTTGTACAATACAGTGCCATTAGCCACCAGCAGCTATTTAAACTTAAACTAATGCAAATTAAATAAAATTTGAAATGCAGTTGCTCAGAGCACATTTCATGTGCTCAGTAACCACATGTGGTTGGTGGCTGCCTACTGGGCAGCACGCCTAACATTGCCACCATTGAAATGTTCTTTAGGACAATGCAGGGTCTGTACTATTTGTTTCCTTTCCTTCTGGCTCAACTATCCCACTATTGTCTCCTCCCCTCCTTGCCATCTCTACCTGGAAATACCTTCTCCCTCTACCAAGGCTGCCCACCTCATTTCCCCCATTCTTCTGACCTTTCCTTTCTTAATGAGATGCCCACTCTCCTTAGAGCCTCAGTAGTGTTTTATCTGCATTTCCTTTTTGAAAGGAAAAGCTGCCTAGGAGCTCTTTCTTTCAAATCATCAGCCAGGTCTTTCTCCTTTCCTTTCTTTTCAAGTATAGAAGCCTTCTGGGCCTGATCGGTTGCAGATTCACTCGCTGTATCCACTTAGGTCCTTACTCATGTCCAGTACTGAATGGGAAGACTTTGAGGTAGAGACTGCATCAGTGATCTTATTCTATGCACAATACAGTGGGATTGCTGAATTGGAGACCTAGAAAAGAAAATGGTTCTCTAATTTCTGTAGTCAGTAAGGCCGGTCAGTGTCTTGCCATTCTTCTTTTTTCCTTCCTTCTGCAATCACACAGGCCTCTTCTGTGAGACCAGGCACAAAGTACGGCCCCTGTCCTCTGCTTGCCTGTGCAGGTGCCCATGGGCAGCACATTCTAGCTCAGAGCCAGCCTTGCTGGCATCAGTGCCAACGAGGGTGACTGGCTGCAGAATACAAATGCGATCCTCCAGCCAGGGCAGTGGGTCAGCACGTAGGAGATGGAATTTTGGGAAGGGAATAATGGATGGACAACTGAGGAGCAGGCAAGGCTGCAAACTACAGACCTCAGAGAACTGACCCCAGGAGAAATGACTGGAATGATAAAGGGCTTAGATTTACATTGTTTACACAATGTAGAGCTTACATCTGTTCACAGCTAGACCCTGGCGGAACTTTCTGGGTGGCTGTATGTGTCAGCGTGGCTTTTCACTTAGTCCAAAGTCATCTGCCGTGAAGGAGAGGATCTCACCCAAAACATTGGCCAGCGCATTTTCATATACCTTAGGGATATTCAGATTCTAGCCTCTTTCCTCTGGTTTAGCTGCCCTGGGGAACTAAAGAAGTTGCTGGTTATCTGCTGATTGACTGGGGGAATGTCCTGAGGCTGTGAGTATGTGTGTCTATGCTTGTGAGCTCTGTAATGGGTTGGAAACATAAGCCATTAGACTGGGTTGACAGATTCTTTGTCTTTCCAGGCTTGTTTTGCAGAGGGAGAAGCACTTCCATTATCTGAAAAGAGGCCTTCGACAGCTGACAGATGCCTATGAGGTAAATATACTGCCTAGGAGCTCTTTCTTTCAAATCATCAACCATGTCTTTTTCCTTTCTTTTCTTTTCAAGTGTAGAAGCCTTCTGGGCCTGACCTGTTGCAGAATCACTCCCCGTGCAGCATGGCCGTGGCAGGCACCGGGTGCACGGCCCCAGGACCTGCAGAGCTAGGACTGCCACTCCTGACAGGGCAGAACCAGAGCTCCTCCAGCCTTGCCTTCCCTCAGAGCTTGTGGAGCTGCTGAGGTGGGGTGGGGCTTGCTTTCCCCATCAAATCATGTGCTTTCTTCCAGACACCTAAAGTCAGTTATCTATTCATCCCTAACCCTTTGCCCTATAAACTGATCTAATCCCTGTGCTGGCCAAAGGATCAGGATATAAATCCCAGAGAGTACTTCTACAGTTCACACTATAAAATGCCCACACTTAGCATGCATTTTAAATTCTGTTCCTGGGAGCTCCAGGGTGCCACAGAGGGCCTCCAGGGAGGGTGGTGCTGGTGGAGGAGGCAAGGGGTGTTAGGAATGGGATCGAGTGGCAGGCAGACGTGAGTGTGAATGGGAGGCCCTGATCTTTCTGCCCCACTTTACAGTGAGCAGCCCAGCTTCAATGTACTTTTTTATTTGGGGTTCTACATTCGATTATTTACATTAGGGATTGGCTACCTCAAATGCCTGTAGACCCAAGCTGGTAGCAAAATAAGAGGAGTGGGCCAGAGGGAGACTGAGGCAAACTGGAGGCCCCTTGCTTTCACTCTGCTCCTGCCAGCTGTGGCCATCCTTGAATTCAGACCCAGGGTTGACAGATTGCTATATATATTTTTTAATGAAGCCAGAAATCCAGATATCTTTGTGAATCTCCCAATGCTTAAATGCTGCAGCCAATTCCAGTTAAACAAACAAAACACTGCAGGAAACAAGACAGGCACATCCACAGGCTAGATTTGGCCTTGGGCTTGGAGTTTTCAATCCTTGACCAAGTTCTTCATAGTGACGGTCCAGTCAGCCTGGACACGGTTAATACCATGCCAGCTAAATTTTTAACATGGTAAAATTTTACTATGCATTATGTCATTTAACCCTCACCACTCCACAAGGTAGGTGAATCTCTATTTTTACAGATAAGGAAACAGGCAAAGCAGGATTAAGGAATTTTCTCAGAGGCTTATTGCTGTAAGAGGAGGGGCTGGGACTCAAACCCAGGGAGGCCCAATCCATAACGGTCTCCTCCCCCAAACCCCCATTCCCAAATGGCAAGCTAGCCTCAGCCTGGGAAGGTCAGCACATTTATGAAGAGGGCAGCTGGGGCCAATGGAAAGAGCACTGGATTAGGAGTCCAGAAACCTGAGTTCTTGTCTCAGCTCTGACATTTAATGTCATTGTCTTGTCCTTCCCCTGTGAAGGCACCTACCACTGCAGAACCCGTTCCCCATGCCAGCTTCCAGCCCAGGTCTGTTCCACAAGTCCCACCCTGGCCCTGGTGGGCCAGCCCTGGTTCACCCCCTGGAGCCCCAGCTTGGTGTGATATGTATGGGGCCTGGAGGTGTTAAAATTGAGTCCAGTGGCTGCCTACACCATCCCAAGGTCTGTGACCTGTCCCTAATCCCTAACAATATAGCCAAATGGGCACACTCATCCCCCCCCCTCTGCCCTCCCCCAAAAAGTAATTTGTTTGAAAAAGTTCACTCTCTGGATCATGTATATACTTGTAATCTATAGAGCTGAGGTAGTAATACTCCTGTCTGCCTACTCTGGAATGCTCAGTGCATGTTGATGGCTTACATTAGGATCAAGACCTGTTCACATGTCACTGGTGGAAGCCTTCTGCAGCCCCCCAGGCAGAATTAGTCAGTTCCTTTCCGTGTGCTCCCTCGGGACTCTGTTTCTGCTGTTAGAGCATTTGTCTCGGTACATGTATGCATGTGTTATGTTCCACCTCATTCCAGAAAGACGTAAGGTAACTTGTACTTCTGTATCTATTGCCCTCTTCCTCTACAGATAACCATACACATTTTATGTCCCGGGCATCTGAAGAACAGGAACTGAATTTTGTTCATATTCATGTCCCCCAGTATCTAATACAGTGCTTGGCACAAGTAGAAGTGTACGAAATATTTGTTGAATCAGTGAATGAGTTAATCCAGGAGATCCTGTTGAGATTAGCTGTTTCCTTGGGTTCACACTGAGAAAATAGCAGCACTTAGCTTCCTGGCATGTGAGAAGTTGTCTGCTCAGCCTTCCTTAGATGCCTGTCAGGGAAGGACCCCTTGGGTTCAAGGTTAACTTCTTTGTCCCATTGTTCTTTCCTCCCATCTGGTCATTTCAGTCCTGGCTAAGGCCACAAAGCAAAGCACCCGTCATTCACTTACTGCACATGGGGTGCCCTCCTCGGCCTTAGCAGGCTGCCGGGAGTGAGACAGACGTCGCCTTGTCAGCAGTGTCCTGGCGTGATTCTGAGTAAGGGGCGTGTTTTCTCCCCTGTCCCTCTCACAGTGTCTGGATGCCAGCCGCCCGTGGCTCTGCTACTGGATCCTGCACAGCCTGGAACTGCTGGATGAACCCAGCCCCCAGGTGGTGGCGACAGAGTGAGTCTGGCTTTGGGGGATTCAGGCTGTTCTCTGAAATTGTATTTTGAGTTTGGGGTTCTTTGTGTTCTGTTTATCTTTCTGTTTGATTTTGAATGAAAAGTGTAGAGCTACAGAGAAACCTTTGCCCTCCTCTTGACCTCCAGGAACTTCCTGAAACTCCCCCACTTCAGAAGCCTATTGTAAGCTCGTGGGTAGAACAAGACTTTGAACTCCCAAGAAATGGATTCTGGTTTCTTCTCTGGCCTTTTCTTTTGGCTCATGCTCTGGTCTTTGAGAAAAGTCTTCATCATCAGCTCCGGGAGACATGACTTTGCCAGGAAGTGCAGTATGCATTGGAATAGCTTCTGTGGGGAAGCGTGTGCCCACCCAGTGAACAGAAATGCCTTTGCCTTCCATAAACACCTCCACAGAAGTCCCTCCGGCAGTGCCTGGGAACAGTGTAGCTCTTGATGGCATTGAGTGTGTTACTGTGTTGGTGTGCATATACCATGACTCACCATTTTCTTCAACTTATGAGTTATGATTAGAGAGCTAAGCAACTAGGATTCTCCCCAAACTGCTGGTGTGGCTGGTGTTTCAGTGTGGCATCTCGTCCTTAGAAGCGCATTACAACTTATATTTTAAAAAAGAACTAACCATCACTCCAGTCTTAGGAGTACCTAGGGTGGGAAGGGGCAGCCAGCAATGGATCAGGCCCCCCCCCTCTCACTGAGAGAGAGCACGTCACCTTGGCAGCATCAGGAGTTTCTCTGCTCCCAGAGGTGCTCCTGAGGGAGGGGCATTTGGAGGGGAGGCCCCTGAGTCAGGTTCGTTTCTCACAGCCCACAAGGGCCACTGTGCAGGGGTGCGTGGAGGCTGGCCTATGCCCCGCCCAGGTCACAGTGCCCTGCCTGGGCCTCAGTGTCAGGTCAGGAGAACAGAACCGCATATTGTCTCATTCATTCTGCCTCAACAATAACCGCTCATTCTTGCCTTCCTGGGAGGGTGTCTTGTGATGAATGTGGACAGGAAAGATAATAATGAATTAGGCCATTAACCCCTGTGATGTGCATGATGCTTTCTTAGGGAGGGAAAAATATGCATTGTCTTCCTCATTGTGATGCTGCTGCAAGCCAGCTGCTTCCAGCGCTGGAGGTAGAGTTGGACATGGTTTCTGCAGTGACAGGAATTTAATTGTCAAGATAAAGGCCTGTGCGTTTTTGAAATACCAGTTGGGGGTTGTGGATTGTTTGGGAAGTTTCTCCCCCACACATACACCATCAGGATGTCTGCTGGGGGATGTCTGCTCTGTGAGACAAGAGAGAAAAGGGAGGATTCTGAGAGAGGGAAGTAGAGGTGCCCCCCGGGACACCTAGGCTGCTCTGAAGTGGGAAGATAGGAATAAGGGGTTCCTCAAACGGCAGGACTCCAGTTAGTATCAAGTGTGAATCTTCTCTGGGTTGTATACTTGGTATTGTATAGGTGAGGTTTTTCTAAGGAAATAAGGGTCAGAACTGCACTTGGGCAACAGCAGGCAGGAAGAGGGGAGCTCTGTAGAAAGCTTTTCACCAGGAACAGGTGGAGACAACCTCTCAACAGTAGGGAACGCTTTAAAATCCATTTAATGGTTAAGTAAGTTCTGGTGCAATACATACAGTGCAGCCATTTAAAAATTAAGAAGTTCATGTATGTTAACTAGACTTATTGTGATCTTTTTGCAATATATGCAAATATCACATCATTCCATTGTATATCTGAAACTAACATAATGTTATCAATTATACCTAAAATACACAGTATGTGTATTTGTATATAGATGTATTTATTTACATAGAGACATCTATGATTTAAGTGAAAAGAGGTAGTTACAAAAATTCCATTTTTATAGACAAAATATAGATGACTATATATATGCATGGAAAAAAGTATATCTACATACATGGCAATAGATATTTCTGGATGGTAGAAAAGATTTTTCTTTTCTAAGCCTTATTTGTACTTTGCAAAATTTCTACAATGAATCATTATATTTTATAATTAAAATAAAAAAATTTTTTAAAAAGCTGTTTCATTCTAATTTCAAGTACCACTTGATAGTGAATGGCTGAGAATTTCTGCCTCATGGCTGCCTTTAAAGCTTTACTGTGGTTCTTCTGAGCATTGATTGAATAGACTTTTTAAGAGGTACTTAGACTTTCCAACAATGTATCTTGTTTTGTGCCTAGCAGGCAATTAATTCTAGGTGCAGATAGTATCTGTTATGGACAGAGTCCAGTAGCTCTGACCTACTTATTTATAAGGAAATAAATGATTTTTAGTAAGATACAGAAAAATCTTAATAACTTCTATAAAAATATGGGAATTTTTTTTAAGACTATCTGATATGGAATATTGCCTTTCTACTTGTTTTGCACAGGGAAAAGAAGTACTTTGAAAATGTGGCCAGGTTTTTTTCTTCTTCTTCTTCTTCATACAAATATTAAGGTGACCTAGAGGCAGAGAGTTTCACTGTGGAGTCTTAATATTTTGTTGCCCCTCTTCTTTACACACACACACACACACACACACACACACACACACACACACACACACACACAGCTCTCTGTTTCCTGTTCTGTTCACTGTTGTGCTCCTATCTGTTTAGAGAGCAATGTGACAGGCTGCGTTCCCTCTAGTGGACAGAATCACTTTTGTCAACTACTCTGACTGCTGACATCTTAAGCTAGTGTTAGACCTTTCAAGAATAATATATTCATTGGTAGGAATTTAGTTTGTCTCTCTTAAGAGATTGTATCCAGACATTTATACATGTGTTTACCTAAAATAAATTAATATTTTGGAACCAGACCAAGTATCTGCTTTGTCAATGATTTTAGCCCTGGAGGAAGCATCCTTTAATGAGAATCCCATCCTTTGTTACTTTACCATAACACACGGAACACAACGGAAATCACAGGGAAACCACTGTACTGTTAAAGTTGGGTTTTTACCTTCTGTAAGATGTAAACATTGTCTTTAACTTAAAAATGGCTTTAGGACTTTTTCCAGTTATGAATTTTTTCATCAATTCCATTTAAATGTTCATGTGTCAATGTTTTTATTATTTCCTTCTCAAAGAGTTACTAGTAGTTTGTCCCCTGAAGAGCTCCTTAAATATTTTTCCTTTTCCTTTTTAAATTTAAATGTAATTTGTCTGTTTCCTTACCTTTCAGTGAAGATTCCTTATCTAGGCATGTGTCTTCTGGGCATTTTTTGGCCAGGTGCTGCTGGCCTCTAGTGGATAGAGGTGCAGGGATGCTGCTCAGAGTTCCCACGACAGAGAATTACCCAGCCCTGAACATCAATAGTGGCAAGATGGAGAAACCCTGCCCTAAAATAACCAGCTTCAGACTTGACTGTGCTTCCAGAACAGCAGCATCCAGAGGGCTGCCTGCGTGGACGGAGAGACAGACAGCCTGCGTCCTCTCCCCGTGCTGCTGGCCTCTGGAGCCAATGAGAGAGCCTGCCTGTGCTTCACCTGCACGTTGCTGTGTTCTGCCTGAGAAGCAGCTCTCCTCTCCCTTGGGTTAAGCTGAAGCTGTTTTACAATGTGAAATTTGAAAGCCTTGTTCCTAGAAGATCCCTCATGTCCACTCATTTCACTTCAATTTGTGTTATTTACCAGAAAGTTGGTATAATTACCTTTTATACTTGAAGTGTTTTGCCTGGGTAGCTTCCTCACTGTGGTTGCCTGTAGCATTAAGCCTTTTAATATTTTTTATGTTTAGCCATTTTTACAATTCTAATCAGAACTGCCTTTGCATTAGAAAATGGAGTTTGGAGCCAGAGGCAGTTCTGACCAACATTGTGTTTATGATGCTTTTAACAAGCATTTTCATTATTATTATTTGCAACTTATGCTCCTTTTTCTCCTATATTCCTTGTCATTTCCTATCTTATATTTATATACCTTATTCATCCCTGACTCCTGCCAGTCCTACTTATATTATTGCTACTTGTACCTGTTTCACTTGTTTTATTCTTATTGGCTTCTGATTTGTTTTATATTATTCTGGGCTTTAATTCTCTCCTTGGAGGTGTTTCCCTGCTTATTTTCTATAATTGCTTATTCTCATACATGATTTTGAGTCCTTCATCTAAGTTGGTGACAGTCATGTCCAGAATCAACCACTCTAGGTCAGTCCTCATCCATCACCTAAAAGTGTGAGTAAATTCTTTATAAGGCTGACAGTTAATCATCGATACTCTTGCTCTGAACTTGGTCCTCTCACAAGTTTTATATACTCATTAACAGTTGAATGGTAGAGCATTGGTGTAGAGCTTCCCATGAGAGTGAAAATGCTCTGAATTTTGTGACAGCAACAGGAGCAGTTGCAGTGTGGTTTGTGTGACTGAGGAGATAAATTCTTAATTTAGTTCATTTAAATTTAAAATATAAACAGCCTCATGGGGCTAGTGGGTATCTACTGGACAGGGCAGGTCTGTTGCTTTGCTCCCCAAAATGTGGTCCCCAGACCAGCGCCACTGCCCTCCTGGGAGCTTGCTAGAAATGCAGAATCTCAAGTCCGTCTAGCTCTACAGCATTAGATCTGCAGCTGAAGATCTTCAGGCGATTTCTATGCCTGCTCAAGTTTGAGAAGCACTGATACTTGGCTGTACATGGAAGTCACATGGGGAATTTTAAGAATATTGCCCCTTGGGTCACACCCTCAGCAATTATTTAATTGGTGTTATTAGGTGTGACCTGGGTGTTGGGTTAAAAAAAATTGCCTAAGTGACTTTAATTGCTCAGCAAAGATTTGTACTACCCAAACTTTGTGTGTATCCAAATCAACCTGGCAATTTTATAAAAATACCCAGGCCTAGGCTCTTTCCTGCTTCAACAAGCCTGGGACTCTGTATTCTTTGTTAGGCTCACCAGCGATTCCGATAGACACATTTTGGGTTTGAAAATCCCTGATCTGGAAGACAGTTTCCCACTTTCTTGGCAATTGTCACATAAGCTAGAATGAAATGCCCTGCTGGCCTGAAAGAAAATTGATCTACTAGATCTTTTAGTCATTTGACTAAAGGAATACTTTTTGAATACTTGTTTTTCACAAAGTGTGCCACTCTTGATGTTGCCGCTTGTGATTTTTTAAAATTAGTTGGTGAATTTCTGGTCTCTGAGGCAAGTTTTTCTCCCCCTTTTGGTAGGTAGACATATCATTCACATTTTGGTTTTCAGAATTGCTATGAATTCTGTGAACGACAGCAGTAGCTTCATGGTCAGTGTGCCAGTTCCTCATGGTGCAAGTCGCAGTGCCTGTGGATCAGGGTGTCCTGTGGCACAGAAGCATCCGAGAACCGAGGAAGGCCCAGCCCTGTTCCCCAGTGCAGCCTCGCAGTGCATCAGATGCAGCATGCCAGCTGAGGGAGGGTGGCATGGAGCGATGATTGAAAGGCGTCTGGTTCATTCAGATCTCAGCTCATTCCACACTTTAGGCTGCAGGGGCAGCAGTGTTGCATTCAGCATGATTCTATCTTGGGACCTGGGAAAGGGAATGGATAACTAAGTGACTATTTTTCTTTTTGTAAAATGTGCTATAGGTTTTATGTCAGCAAAAGCCTTTTTGTTCTTGTGATATAGGAAACTTTTTGTATGCTGTTACAGCCAACCTTTGTTAGGACATGAGTTTATTAGTTGTTTCTGGGAAATAGGATAAGAATTGATGAAGGTTTAGAAAATATGTTAGGAACAAACTCATTTTCTCCAGGAACATTGCTATTAAAAATGTGCCATGTGTGAAAATTCCAAAAGCTCACAGACAGGTATACATTCTTGAGATATGAGTCAGCAGTACTATTTTCCTTCTCTGATTATCATCTTCAGTTTCAACACTTGTGTTACCTACAGTAAAATTTTAGGTGCACATAGAAGTGAATGTGTATTGTTTCTAACCTGTGAAGATTTCAGGACTCCCAATTTCCAGTCAGTGATGTTTTCTACTGCTGTCCCTACCCAGATAACAGAAGGTCTGAAATCAAAAGTATCGAATAATATGTGGGGAAAAAGCAGTAATAAACTTGGGCTCAGTGGAGATTAGCCAGACTCTATGTGGTCTCTGGCAGCGGTAGATAAGAAAGAACCTAGGGAGAGAAGGTTGCCTGAACACTAGGACACAGATTTGCAGCTTGTTCTCCTAAACAGACTCTTGTCCTAGTAGGAAGCCTGTGATCCTGGCTGAGTTGTGGGAAAACAACTTGATAACCAGGACTTGCCTGGGGCACCCCTTTCTGGTGAACTTCAGAGAATCTTGGACAAGTAGGGGCTCTGCTGTGTTCATCCAAAGCAAGAATGTGACTTTTGGGCAAACTGGTGCCATACTTGGAGGCAAGGGCTTACAGGGAAACCCTCAATAAACAGTTTCCCTCGGTGAGGGAACTGGAGCCTCTGTGGGTTAGTGTGAAAACTTCTCCAAAGCCCACAGATGGGTATCCATTCTTGAGATACAAGTCAGCAGTACCTACGTTTGTCACAGTTGAGGTGAGCATAACAGAAGCCGACCTCTCTTTCATTCTCCTGACCCTGAGGCAGACTCCATTAAAAGCTTGTTTCTTGTCAGTGGTAGGATTGAAATCAGTAGCCTCCTGAGGCTCAGGTGGCAGTGGGAGTGAGAGGACCTCTTTAAATATTCTTGGTAAGCCTCCGTGATGGCTCTAGACCAGGGTGGCTAGTGTGCACCACCACAGGCAGAATTCAAAGCCTGGGAGGACCCTGAAGGCAAGGGAGAAGGGTCCGGCCCTGCAGACTCAGAGGGGCAAATTGAATGAGAAATATGGGAAAGGTTGGTCAAGAAGCAATTGAGACTTACCTGCCGTTCTCAGAAGGGCTGTTTCTGGCTGGCCTTGGGTTCCGTGCTTCATGAAGAGGCCAATGCTTAATATAAAACTCAGCAAGGAGGCCATACAAAACTGAGGGAAGCAGGGGAGAGAGGCCTTTGCAGGGATGGGTTAATTATACTCAATATAATATATGTAGTAGTGGGAGGAGAGGTTTTTCTCTTTTGAGGGATAGGGGAAGCTTTGAAAAGGCATGGATTCTGGAAGATTTTGGTGTTTTGAAGACAGTTAATGCTCTCTGACTTTGTTTTCCTATTTGGCTGTGTATGTAGTGTGTGTCAGTTCCTGGAGCTGTGTCAAAGCCCAGAAGGTGGCTTTGGAGGGGGCCCTGGCCAGTACCCACACCTTGCCCCAACGTACGCAGCGGTCAACGCGCTGTGCATCATTGGTACCGAGGAGGCCTATGACGTCATTAACAGGTAGAGCCAGAGCCAGCCATGCCTGACCCCCAGAAAGGCTACCTACCAGCTGACACTGCACTCTAACCATTCCTGTCTCCTGCCTCTCTCCCGTTCGTTTCTCAGAGAGAAGCTTCTTCAGTATTTGTACTCGCTGAAGCAACCTGATGGCTCTTTTCTCATGCACGTTGGAGGTGAGGTGGATGTGAGGTGAGTGGGCCCTTTCTCAGTCTGCTGCATCAGGAGGTCCTACAGTTTCTCTCCCATTAGAGATGCCAAACCCAGGAAACAACTTGGGGAAGCGGCTGCTTTGTTCCACAGAATGTGTGGGATGATGTGTCAGTGACAAGATTCTTAGTTATTGCAAATGCCAAACAGATGTCCTTGGGTGTCACTGTCACTTGACTTCTTTTATGTAAATGTCAGAATTTCCATAAGACAGAAACAAAATCAAATGCTTTTGTTTTTAAAATTAAGAATACATTTGTGGAGTATAAAATGATATATGTAAAAACTATATAGTGTGATGCAATCTTTCATCTCTCTGGGATAGAAAGAAAGAGGGGAGAAAGCACAGTAGGGACTTAGTAAATATTTTCTGAATGAATTTGATGAAATCATGAGAATGCTTAACACCTGCATGAGAACTGCTGTGAGTGGCACAGAAACACATCAAGGTCCAGTAGAGTGCAGGGAAACAGAATTGGATTTACTCGTTGGAACCAGTTGGCTCAAAATTATAATTTTACTCAAGAGTTATCTGGCAAGATAAGATGTACCTAGCAAGTAGCTTACTCACCTGGCAGGAGATTGTTTATGAAGCATACAGGGAATTCACTGAATAAGTCATTTCTCAAAGGCAGTGGATCACTGAGGTTTTATACCAAATTCTTGTTTAGTCTGAGAAATGAATTTTTTATGAGTTTTCTGTATTAAAGCCATCTTATTCCCTATCTGTAACTGTGTTTGCTTCTATGCAAGTTGATTAATATTCTGGCTTAACCATTGGTTTGAAAGTACAGGGGAAGAGAAAACATGGAAGTTGTGGAGCATAAAACCCCTTGCAGATAAAAGTCGGGGACCAGGCTGCGAAGGCCTTTAGTTAAAGGATTCTCTTCTGTCTGTAACCTGTCCATCCAAACCAAAAAATTAGACTAGGTTTCTACGTAGGGGAAACTGTTTATCTACTCACAGCACTTCTGACACAAAATGTGTGGGCTTTTCCCCTCATATTAAATAATTCTGACACTAACTACCCAGACTTAGCACCTACCCTACAAGGCTCAGTCCCATGAGACCATCCCCCCTTCAGATGTCAGTCATAAGTGCTGTCCCCACACTTTCACCCGACTTGGCTGCACATCAGGCGTGCAGCCCCTCCTTTGCTTCAATTTGTTACATAGGATCCAGAAGAACAGCCAGATGTAGAGGGAGGTGGGGTGAGCTCTGGGTGGGTCCAGAGCATGGGAACTCTGGACCCCACAAAGTTGGGGTATTCCCCCCTCCCGGCAGGCACATGGCTGTGTTCACCAACCCAGAAGCTGCCTGAACCCCTGCATGTAGGGTTTTTATGGAGGTTACATTGTGTAGGCATAATTGACTTAATCATTGGCCATTGGTAATTAACTCAGTCCCAGCCCCTGTCCTCTTGCTGGTGGGACCGAAAGTTCCAACCCTCTAATCGGTGGGCCCCCCTAGCAGCCAGCCCCCATCCTCCAGGAGTCACCTCATTAGCATAAGCCCCGGTGTGGTTCGGAGGGGCTTGTTGTGAATAACAAATGATGCTCCTCTCACCTCCATCCGGAAATTCCAGGGGTTTTAAGAGCTCAGTACCAGAAACTAGGGAGTAGACCAAATGCTTATTTCTTATTATATCACAATAGCCCTGGTGTCTGTTGTTAAAATATAAATTGAGGCATATTAAAAATTTTAATTCATTTGAACAAACAGTCTATTTGAATTGGGCAGCATCCAGTCTAGCAGATAGAAAGGAGCTCAGAGAAGCTATATGAGACTTTTATAGACAGGAGGGAGGTGGGGGGAACAAGGAACTTACACCAGCGAGAAGTGGGTTGCTGCGAGGTTACCTCTGGTTAGGGGATGGCGGGCTACCAGTCAGATCACCTCACTAGTGCTGACCAGGGGAGTCCTGATTGACCCGGTTAAGGTACCATTTCTGGGAGAGCTGAAACTGTAAGTTAAGAGTCAGCTTGGTGACATGGAGCTTAGCATAAGTAATTCCATTTCAGGCCTGTTGTCTTGTTTTTAACCCTGTAGATGCCATTGAAGCCAATATAACTGTTGAAGAAAAGCACTATTGTGTTGATGCTTCTTAAGGAAAAAGATAAAAGATGTTTTCTTCCCTTCGTGGTGACTACATTTTCATTCCTGTGCTACAGATGTTCCAATCAAATCGCAGTCTTGAAATTTAGCTTTTTAAAACTCTGAAAGTATTAGGCAAAACCAAACAAATTCTAGCAAGGTCATTTTGGTGTTTCATTGCATGTTTTTTTCAGAAATGATTATTCTCCAATTTATTCATTCCAGTACATTTATTTCTGTGTTCTTATACAAATCTGCTAAACAAATCATAGAAGACTTTTTGCAATAAAATAGATTTGTTCCACTGAAGAACAGTGTAGCCATATTCCTCCTCTACCTCAGCCTTTCTGGTAACGTTCTGCCATTTGAGCCATGCTTTTGACTTGCATGGGATTCAAGGTGCGAACAATGGATAAAACCTAGCAGAGCGTGTTGTTTCCTTGCTTTGCCTACTTTCCAGTACCCCGATTCTGTTGTCTTCCTCTTGGTGTTTCTCTAATTGCCCTTTGCCTGGAAGTGTCAGCCGGGACTCTGGAATGCTTGTTGAGTGGGGGAGAAGTAGCAGTGATGAGGAAGATTTGGCATTTGGGGGAGAGTGTATCTCATTCTGGGTTAGGCAGATCTTCAGGTCTGTCACAACTCCTAGTGGTTCCACATCGAGCTTATTCAAGCCTCTGCAGCTCCAGTGTAGCGCAGTGAACCCATGGCAATAATCAAGTTGCAAGGAACTCATAGCAAGCTCAGTTTTTCCTTAGTTCTTAAGATCAGACTACTGATCTATCACCGACATCCTGATCTAGGTTATATGACCTGGAGCATTCTGTGATGGTGGTGGGGAGACAGGGACCCAGCATTTGCAAAAGGTTAGGTGACAGCACAGAGTGTGTTTGGGAAAGGAGAAGTTCATTGTTGCTGAAGGTGGAGGGCCTGCCTGGAGAGCAGTGGGAGAAAAGAAGCTGGAAGCGCAGAATAAGAACAGATAGAAAGGTCCCCAAATCTTAAACAGTCTGGAGTTTATTTTAAGGGCAGTGGGAAGCCACTGACAAGTTTTAAGTAGGGAGTGACGTGATCTGATTGGTATTTTATTAGAGGCTCTGCCGTGGCAGTGAATAGGTTGTAATGTTTTGGTAACAGTCTCTGGTTTCAGGGCTGGAGGGAAGACCAGACAGGAGACTGATCCGGGTGATGGTGACTTAGCTTTGGGTGACAGCAGAGAGGATGGGAGTAGTAGGCAAACTTGAGAGGTGTGATGACTAGATGGAGGGAGAGAGGAAGACACTGTGCGGAAGAGGTGTGTTTTGTTCTCTGCCATCTCAGTGTGAGATCTGGTATCATGTCTCCACTCTTGCATTTATGAGAGGCTGACTGCATTGCTGGCTGCAACCCTGCCTTAGAGGTTACCTTAGGATTCAAAAACAAATGCTTTTGAAGCCCTCTGAGAGGCTCAAAACCTGAAAGAAATTAGATTAGACCTTCCAAATTAGCCTGTGGTTGATGATTTAACATGTAGCACATAGGACTCTGGTGTGCTTCTGATGCCTGCTGGTAAACCCTACCTCTGCTGGGCCTGTGGCCAGTGTGGCTAGGCTGAAAAAATGCTGGTAGGGTCATAACACTTGCAGCTTCTGGAGAGATTGCTTTGAAACACTTCAATAAGTTTGGCTTAGTATTATGTCTCTATTGAATAATAGGGAAACTAGACCCTTCTCTTTCCTCCCTTTTATATACCTTAGGAGCCCTTAGAAAAAGGCTATATAAGCAGAATTAGAACAATTTTTGTCTTCAACGTAAAATGGAGCTGAGATGCTGGCTATTTTAAAAGATCATAGAAAAGACAGTTTGTGGACATGTTCTATAATGGAGGGAAATAAAATGTGTCCTGACAAGAATTAGGGCTGGCAGGAAGTAATAGCAAGAAATTATTCCAAGTTAAGTAGGATAATATATATATATAAAAAAAAGATGTTCTCTTTCTTTTTCCTTTAAAAATTTGTGTGCATGTGTATACTGGTGGGGTGCTTGAAATCAAAGCTGTTTTCTCTCTTCAGAGGCTTAAGGAATGTATCTGAGTAGGCTCATCCCTGTCCCTCTTGTCTGGTCTAAGTGACTATTACAGTCTGATGGCCTGCTTTGAAGGTATCTGTTGCAGAAAAAAATACACAGTTGGCCCTTGAACAACATAGGTTTGAACTGTATGAGTCCACTTATACGTGGATTTTTTTCAATAAATATATTGGAAAAAAATTTGGAGATTTGTGACAATTTGAAAAAACATTTTCTTTTCTCTAGCTTCTTTTACTGTAAGAATATAGTATATAATGCATATATCATACAAAATATGTGTTAAGTAATTGTTTATGTTGTCGCTAAGATTTCTAGTCAACAGTGGACTATTGGTAGTTAAGTTTTGGGGAATCAAAAATTTCATGTGGATTTTTGACTGCATAAGAGGTCAGCAGCCTTCACCCCCAAGTTGTTTGAGGTCAGCTATAGTTAACCTTTAGTGCGTCCATGCTATAAACAGATCAAAATCTTGACTGACATCTGAATGAATGAGCATATCAGAATACCTGAATGACACTGTGAAATTTTGGGAACCACTATAGGTCTTTGAACAAAGAGCTGAATTCACTTTTGACATGAATTGATATGGCTGTTATTTCCTCTGATGTAGATTTGGCCACGTGGAGGTAGGGAGACTAGAATGTCATGTTCTTTCACTGAAGCCATGCTGTGAGCAACTCTATCCAAATAGAATGTCAGAACTTCTCAGTTGGAGACCAGGAGGACTGACCATGTGCCAAGAGTGAGGACAGGAGGCGACGACAGCCCACTAGACAAGGAGAGCAATCCGCCCAGGAAGTTCAGAGAAACTTATTTAGGTTCTTCCTTAATGTTTAACCCTTTCCTCCTCCATTTCTGCCCTTCCAGAAGTGCATACTGTGCCGCCTCCGTAGCATCTCTGACCAACATCATCACTCCAGACCTCTTTGAGGGCACTGCTGAATGGATAGCAAGGTGAGAGAAGCTGGGATTTGTCCTGGCCTCTTAGGTGATCAAGACTTGGGAAAAATAGCGAAAATGGAGAAGGTCTGGAGGGGCATATAAAATTGTAGGAGATGTCTCAGGATTGTAGGATTGCGCATTTCAAAAATACTTCAAAGTTTTCCCTTTTCCAACCTTTCTTTCATGTTTTATTATACTTTAGATTGGCAAAGATCAAAAGCTTTAGTAAGCAGTATTGGGGGGGTCTAAATGGGTTTAACTAGTTTGGAGAGCAATTTGGTAATATCTCAAAGATGCCCTTGCTGATGCCCCAGTAATTTAACTCCGTATAGAAACTCTCACACACATGCATGAAAGAGACAAACATAGGACTTGTTTCTGATAGCAAAAACCCAGAAACAGGTTACATGTTAAATAACCATGAGATGCATAAATAAGTTGTGCTGTAGTCACATTGGAATCTAACATAACATATAAATGAATGAACTAGAACTGCATGTATCAATAGGACAAATCAAGAACAATGTTGAGTTTACAAAAAAGGATGTTAAAACATGCAGATCAGCACATTTACTTTAAATTTGACAATGTGCAAAACAATTTTATATTGTTTATGGAAGAATAACATGTAGTAATGTAGAAACATGCATGGGAAGGATAAATACCAAATTCAGGATGGTGGTTACTTCTAGGGGGAGAGAGCAAAGGAAATGAGATTGGGAGGTCTACACATCTACACAGGGGACTGCAACTGTAACTGTACTTGCTCATTTCTTTAAAATAAAAAAAAACCAAAAACCCTGAAGAGTATATGGCTAAAATCAAAGCTGGGTGTTAGACGTATGTATGTTCTATATATTATTTGCTATACTTTCCTGGATGCCTCTAATATTTCATAATTTTGAAAAGAGAACAAAATGTATGGTAGGTATGTATGTACTATTATGGAATGATATCTAAGCTCTATTGTTTTTTACCTTTTTATTTTTATCAAAGTAGTACTTATTACATGAAAATATAATTTATAGCTAACCTAAGCGATATACTATGATCATATTTACTTTTTTGTGTGTAACTTTTATTTTCATGGAATCAATCATGACTTCCACTTATCAATGTATGTACCGTGAATTCATTCTGGTAATGTATCCATTCTCTTTTATGAGTAGGTATGTGTCTGTGTGTGCGTGTGCATGTGCGTGTGTGTTTTGAGTTACCCTCTTGGAGCCTGCTGCTCCCGCTTCAGTCTGGACAGATTGTTCTCAGCTTGGTGCACAGCAGGCATCTAGAAGCTTCCTTTCAGCATGAAATTCACTTCACTTCTCTCCTTTGCTGAAGCCCCTGTCCTCCTTTTTCTTGGTTCACTTACTCATTTTAATGAAGCAATTACTCCAGTAGATCCCAAAAAAGAGCACTTGGGAGATACATTTTTAAGATTTTGCATTTGTCTTTAGTCTCACACTTAATTGTAGTTTATTTGGTTAGCATTTCTAAATTGGAAACTTTATAAACTGTATTCCTTCAGAATTTTTAAGCATTGCTCCATTATATTCTGGCTTCTGGTGTCATTGTTAAAAAGCTGACAGTAATAATAATGACATTTACTAAGGATTTGGTATGTAGTATTTAATAGTAAGATAGCTGTTGTTTAGAGATTTAAAGTACAGGTGTCTACTGCCTGGGTTTGGTTCTTTTTAATACATTCTGTTTCTCACTTGAGAATCCCATCTTTTTATTCATTACAAGTGTATTTTTCTTCACTTCAATGAGGTAAATATGTAATTATAATATTTGCTTTTATAAAATCCTTATCTGGTAATGTCAACATCTGGGTCTCTTGGAATTGGCTTGTCACATTTTCCTAATTCTGTGCATGTCAACGTATTTTGGGATTGTATCCTGGACATTGTGATGTTCTGTTGTAGAGATTGGGTTCTGTTAGATTGCTGTAAAGAATGTTGATGATTTTGTGTCAGCAGGCAGTCAACTTGGTTAGACTCAAATTCAGATCGTCACACCTGCAGTGGGCAGTGGCTCAGTTCTCTGGTCAGTGCTTGGTCAGAAGCTGCGTCCAGTTTGTCTAACGCATGTGTGATTCGGGGGTGAGGTAGAAATTTGAGTGAAACTCAAACATGGAATTTGGGGTTTTTTCTTCTCTGGCTCTCCCCTTTCTGGGAGATCTCCTCACTTGCTGTCAGCCTGGTTCTTCTTGTCAGAAAGATGGTGGGCTCTCTGTTGGTGTCAGCTGCCCTTCTCTCTCCTCCAACCTGCTGCGGCCACCACTGAGTGACTGTAGCCATCCTGAGGACAAACCAGGGAGAAGAAATAAGGCAGGGGAGCGGGGGACTGCCTGCCTGCTCTTGTCTGCTCCAGCTTCCAAATACCCACCAAGATCTGCCTGCCTGTTTTCAGTCTGCTGAGCTCTCAGCAAGTCATTTTTGTGTATCTTGTCCAGAGTGAATGAATAGCTGTTACTTGTAGGAGGGGTTTGTGGCACCTACTAGATGTGGAACGCTGACTCCCTTGTTTTGTCTTTTATTAGCTTTGTGCCTTGGACAAGTTATTAAAATTATATTATAATTTCCTTACATGTCAGATGGTAGGGTATTGGATTTGATATTAAGCTGAAAGACATATTAAGTGAACAAAACCTTGTTATTGTGACCCACTGTGTATCACTGCCTCCCAATCCTTTGTGTGTTTTTGTTTTGTTTCTCTTTTTCACTATTCCACCTCCTCCCCCTCCCTTGAAGTTTTTGTAATCATTATTCTTGCTTCTTGCTTTTTGGAAACTTCATGCTGATGAACCACGGTATGGATTTTTAAAAAATTCATGGTGTGGGGTACTCAGCAGGTGTCTTTTGTATGGGATCACATATACTTTAGTTCCAAGAAACTTTATATTATTTCTTCAGTTATCTCCTCCCCTGCATTTTCTGTTTTTGCTCTTTTTATAATGTCCTTTAAGTGGGGCTGGGGTTTTTTTTCATAATTATTTTTGCCTATTTTCCATCTCTTAATCTTCCTTATTGTACTTTCTTAGAGATTCCCTTAACCTTTTATCTTTTAATCCTTCTGTTGAGTTTTTATTTCTGCAGTTCCATTTAAAAAATTTTTCTACAGCTGATTTTATCTTAATTTATGAAAAGAGTGCTTCTTTCTTACATACTCTCCTGTTCTTGTTTCAGGGATATTTTATCCTTGCAGTGTTTTTATTTCATACAATATTCTTTCTAAAGATACAACTTTAAAAGGTTACTTCTGATGCCTATATTATTTCCTCTGATTTATTTTTGTTTGTTAGTTTGTTTTGGCCTCTCTCATATTAGAGACTTTACTCAAATGTCTGGTGTTCCTATTTATGAATCAAGTACTGAGAAGCTGATGGGGCGCTGTGTGCCAGGTAGGCTAGGATCCAGCCATCCACAGGGGAGTTCTCAGACATGTATATCAGTAGAGTTTTTCCCTTGGGTTTATCAGTTTCCCTAGAAAATCTTCCAGATTCCTGGTTGGGGTATGAAGTTGGTAACCAGCTTTATGAAATACTTACAGGGAAAGCAATTTTGGGTGTTTGTGTTCAGACTGTAGACTCTCACTTAATTCCCCTGCTCAGTATGGTGCCTCCCTCCTGTCCTCAGCTGTGCTGGGCATCCTGGAATTCAGAGCCTCTTGATTAACCCCTGATAACCCCCATCTTCTACTGGGTTTGAGTATTTCTGCTGGATAGCTAGAATCAGTAAATCTAAATCTTACATAACTTTACAACCAATCAACTTGGTTCAAATGCATCCCACTTTTAGAAGTACTTTGTGTCTCTAGTTCCTGGGCCTTTCATTGGAGCCCAGCACCTTGCTTTCTGTTGTCTTCTCCCTATGCTCCCTCTGGGTTGGTTTAGGTTTCTCTATTCTATGAAGTCAGTTACTTCTTATATCTCTGTTTCTGGCTTTCATAATTTTATCTCCTGTCTTTATTCCTGTCCTCTCCTATTTTCCTTTCCCTTGTGGGTTTGTCCCTTTTTAAATTCCTTTACTTTCATTTTACTGGGCTCTTGTGTTCAGTCTCTTATGTTTAGCTAGAAGACACTGCCAAAGAATTTTACTAAATTACTCCCATGCATGTAAAAACAAAGAGGGAAAGTAGCATATATATGTGTGTGTGTGTGTGTGTGTGTGTGTGTGTGTGTGTAGATAGTGTGTGTGCGTGTGTGTGTGTACAGAGAGAAAGAGAGAAACTGGGACAGAAACTGACCGTGGTTAGCTGCTGGTGAGAGGGACCAGGGTGGGCCAGAGACTTACTCTTCATTGTTCATTCTTTTATACTGTTTGAAATTTTTTAAATTAAAGCATTTTTTTTTTAAAGAATTAAGAAGAAAGGAAAAATTTAAGAGGTCCCTTGCATATTTTTCCCTCATCTGGCCTTTAAAACCTCAGCTATTCCTGTGCTCCACATAGCCAAACACACTGGAAAGAAAACCTGGTGTGTGTTTGTGGATTTGGGGAATGGAGGATCCTGAGGAATCAGTACAGGGAATGGCAGCCAGTTTTTGGTTCTGCATCCTCCACTGTGATCTTCCTGGGCCTGGGGCCTTCTGAAAAAGACCTGTGGGTTCCCAAGATGCTGGACCTCCAGCAGGAGGTTCTTGGAAAATGGGAAGTACTGTTGCTTCCTTTCTCTCCCATCTGAAGTCCCACCGGCTCTTGGATCAGGTGCTCGCCTCCCTGTGCACCTGTGCAGCAGCAGGGATTGTGAGACAGACACACCTGTAGGGAGTGTGACTCCGTGTACATAGTTGGAGACCATTGGAAATAAGGTTCTGTGTTGTTATATGAAAATATACTTAGAAGAAAATGTCTTTATTTCACAGACAAAAGATGTTTATTATAGGTCAAAAAGAAGACACTCTGAACTACTTATAATCTACTACCAACCACTCTTTCGGTGTATGTCTTTCCAGAATTTCAGAAAAATCATACGTACATTATAATTTTATAACTTTTCATTTAATACATTTGGAACATCTTTCAATAGACTTCTGTGGCTTATTTTAAATGTGTAGTACTGTACAGATATACCATAATTTATATAACCAGCCCCTTACTGTTAAGCTTCTGAGTTGTTTAGAATATTTCACTGTTAAAATAGGAATACAGTAAACATTCTTATAATCTTATCTTTGGATACATTCCTGCTTATTTTGTAATTGAATTCCTGGAAATGACCCTTTATTGCTGGGTCAAAGATTATGCATGTTTTTATAATTAGAAAATATACTCTTAATATATAGATTAATCCCAAATAATAGTAATTATAATGATAATAAATGAGTAACTTCAATATGTAGGAAATTATAATTTTTAAAAATCAGTTTATTTTGAATAGAAATATTTTAAAATAGTTTGAAAGGCTATGTTCACTAAAGAAGCTTTTTAGAAATACAGAAATAAGAGGAAAGTATCAGATATAGGCTTGTACTAAAAGATAACCAGAACTAGCAGTTATTTTTCTGTTTATTTTCCTCTGGTGTATTATACTATATGATTTTATAACTTTTCTCCAAAAAGTAATGATTTGAGGTACTATATTTATTACACAAATAGTCTGTTTCTTAGTTTCCTTGTTTTTGTTTTTGAGGAGAAGGCAGTTCTAAAAGTTGATTAGCCAGCATCTTTCCATTCACAGTTGTGATGGCTGATGCCTTAATCTGAGCAAACTCATTCTTTGCCATCCAGATCCTACATTTGGCCATTCACCCAGCCCAGCTGCTCATTGATTGGCACTGACCGCTCACTCAGTCTGCTTTCTCTATCTCCTAGGTGTCAGAATTGGGAAGGTGGGATCGGCGGGGTGCCAGGGATGGAAGCCCATGGGGGCTATACTTTCTGTGGCCTGGCCGCACTAGTCATCCTCAAGAAGGAACGTTCCTTGAACTTGAAGAGTTTATTAGTAAGTGTCCGTTGATCCATCTTCCTCTGGGTCCCCTGGTAGTGTGACTATTCAGACTCGCAGGCTTCAGGAGAGTTTGGCTGTGGGAAGGGCTAACAGAGTTCCTGCCATGAGCTCATGAATCCCAGGTCCTGTGATGAAGCTGTAGATCTAGCTGGAGCACCCAGCACTGTTCTGAGAAAGTGGAAGGAGTGAGCATCAGCTCTCAGGCTCAGCTCCCCTTCTGCCTTTCCATCTTCCTGCTCGGAACTTTCTACCTAGTGTGTTAGGCCAATTCCAGCTTCTTCTTGGGTCCCTCAGACATCCGGTATGAGCCAGAGTGCTTTCTTCATACTTCCAAGAAAAATGTAGCTTCAGTCTCTTAAAATTAGAGGTTATTATGTGTCTTAGAAAGAATTTCCTAAGAGAAAAAGTTATGAGAAGAGCTTTGAGGAATTTTGAAGACAAGCTTTACTGTACTCTGTGAACCTTAGTAACTACACTGAAAAGAGCTGAGCAGAGCTGGGTAGTTGCATTGAGCAGGTGGACTCCCAAGCTCCTGAACAATTCAGAATGAACTCTGGAAGCAGTTAGCTTCAGGGAGTTGCTAGATTATAGTTTAATTATCACTGGAGGCCTAGGGCACAAGCACACGTACAGCCACACCACCAAGGAGGTATCTTTTGGGAAGCATTTGCTCTCTGACCAGCTGCAACTGGCATTCATCTCCTCTCCCCTAGTTCGGATGTCGGACTCCTATAGGAACTGTTGGGGCCCACCATGAGCTTCCCAAAGAGTTTCTGTTATACTCTATAGATAATATGACAGGCAGCATTTTGTCCTCAGCTTTAGAAAGCATGCTTTTCTTGAAGGTTCTTAAAGCCTTGAAGCTTTATGCAAAATGGCCAACTTTGTGTACTGAACCTAGGGTTTATCAGACATTTTAAAATCTGATCACCAACAAGGCATGAAACATAAACGTCCCATCTCCCAGGCAGAAGTAAGTAATACAACTACTGAATGCCTCAGTTACAATGACAGTATTCTAGATTTGAACCCTGTCTGTACTACTTCCTAGCCATGTGACCTTGGGGAAATTATCCTAATCTGTTTAACTTCAATATTTTTTTCTTCTGTAAGGTAGAGATAACAGTTCTTTGAAGGTTCGAGGAGAGTACCTATATAAACAGCCTGGCACATAGTAGATGCTCAGTAAATGCTGGTATCCTTACCCAAACCATTCCCTCCCTTCCATTTGTTTTGGGAGAACTGGGGCCCATACATAGCTGAAGGATTTTTTGAATTTATATAGCCAAGTGAAGCAAAATACACCATGGGTTCTTACGCACTGGAAAAAATTAGTCTTGCTTAAAAACACTTAACTGTAGGATAAGTAAAAATGAAGAAGGAACTCCCCACTCTAGTGCCTGTTCCCCTTTTCTTGAGCAGTTTGTAGCCTATTTGTATTAAATGGCATCATCCCTAAAGCCCTGATTCATTTCAGACCAGCTGGGGAGTATTAGTGCCTGGATCTGCAGTGCAGTTTTTATGTCTGTCTTCTAAGAATTTGGTATTGTGACTCTCTGTGGCTGAATGTTGCCTTGAACAGGGATATAATCTACCCTTTACAACTGTTAAAGAAGGGCTGGACTTCCCTTTCAATCAAAGTCTTTAACTGCTCCTTTCAGAAACTCAGTCTAGTAAGAATTTAGGTACAGGGGACATACCCTACTCTGTACCTTTCAGTTTGGTAAGGCAGCTAAGTCCATGGCTGTGCCTGGAACTGCCTTGGAGGGCTGGGAGGGAGATGGAAGTGTCATTATCTGCTCAGCCACTTGGTTCTGCTCATTCCTAGAAGCCAAACCCATGACTATCTTGATCTTAGTAGTAGAGCGTGTTTAGAAACTTGGAGATAAGCGAGGAATGGTAGCATCATGTGTGACCATGGAGTGACATCAAGAGCCATTTTATAGGTTCAAACCAGCCAACCAGCTTCCTCTGGAGAAGCAGAGAGGCTGGTCCAGACAGAGCCATCATAGTAATCGAGACTAATGGCTTCTGCTTCCAGTCCTGCAAGTGACTTGCTAAGAAACCTGGGATAAATTTCCCCAGGTGCCAATTAAAAGTCAGGAACAGTTTGAGATCATCTGATAAGATGTAGCATAAAATTCCATTTATGTGCTTTTAATAAACTTTCCTGAGCAGGGAAATTGACTAGGAACAAGCCACTGGTGGTCTTATCTTAAATTTCTTAGTTAAGTCTTGTTTACAAAGAGATGTTTACAGGTCTCCTTACCAGCCAGCGTGGCCTCTTTCTTCTCTCTGACCAGAACCTATCTGGCACCCAGGAAAAGGTGGTTGCTTGTCCCTTAGGCACTGAGCAGAGGTCTGTGCTGGTTGCCTCAGAGCCCCACTCTAGTCTGTGGCAGTGGAAGGGGAAGAAGGGAGAAACCAAACACCACATCTCAGTTCTCAGATGGGAACCCTCCCTCCCCAGATTGGCCTCTGGTGATCTCATCTTGCTGGATTTTGTGTCTCTTTTAGCCTGTGACTGCCTCTCCCTTTCTCATTCTCAGCAATGGGTGACAAGCCGGCAGATGCGGTTTGAAGGTGGATTTCAGGGCCGCTGCAACAAGCTGGTAGATGGCTGCTATTCCTTCTGGCAGGCAGGGCTCCTGCCCCTGCTCCACCGTGCACTGCATGCTCAAGGTGAGTGGGCGGCTGTTGGCAGGCCTGGTGATTTCCCCTGGCTGCTAATCAGTCAGGAGCCAGAACGCTTTTTAGAGGGGTCAAAATAAGCTGCCTTTCCTGGATTTTGAGTGCCTCGCATAGAACTTCCTGCCTTAGGGCAAATATGTGTGGACTAGGATTTAATCTGATTGCTTAGTGGACATTGCTTCTTCAAACTGGCCATGGCCAGAAAGAGACAATGCCTGTCTGCCTGACCACCACCTTTGCTGCCTGTGAAGCCCCACTTCCCAGTGCAGAGCTCCACATTGGTCACGTCAGAACTGAAAGCCCACACTGTGCATATGGTCGCAACAGTGACAGAAAAGCCAATGGCATAAAGGGCCAGAGAACCAGAACCCACGGAAAAAAGACCCACCTCGTCTGGGTGGCTGTGCCATTGCTGCCATTAGAAGTGGTGCATTTTAAATCCATTGAAGATTCCTAGATGCAAGTTTGTTCCACCTGCATCAGCAGAGTGGAGAGGCCCGTGTCCGTTCCTGTGGGGTCTCATGTGGGCATCAAAAGCAAAGCAGTCAGTCAGTCAGCAGAACTGCTGGGAACCTTTCCTTGCTGTCTCTTGAAATCTCAGGCCACCTGCTGAGTCCTGAAACACTTTTCTCATTTATTTTATGAGAAAGCGGGGCATCTCTGAGGAAACCGGAGGGAAAGGAGGTCAGGGGTGTGCTGCGGGTTCTGATCTGTCCTTGGAGTGAGAGCCCTCGGCCCAGAGGGAAGCTTTTCTTTGGACTTAGTGGTTGGGTAATTAGTTGTCAAGTGTAGAAGATGAGATTCTTTTCTACTGCCCCCCAACCCCCACTCCTTACTCACGCATTTTCTCTTGTTTGGCTGTTCTTTTCGAGCCTCTTTCTTTAGTTTCTTAATTTCATTCGAGTTGTAGCCACTTTTGATACTGAACTGGAGTAAAGAGAAGCTCTGTCCTGAGGCTCCGTCGGTCTCGGGCGGGAAGACATACCACCCTCCTGCCTCCGCAGCCCGCGTGGTCTCCGGCTGGGCAGCTGTGGTAGGGAAGTCGGGATTCCCAAAGAATCCAACACCTTCAGAACAGAGAGAGCCTGGGCCTAGTGATCTCTTTATTTGGAGCTGGTGGGGTTGGGCCCCTAGGCACACCGCCATCCTTTCACAGACCTGTCCCTGGCAGGGGTGACATGCAGTCATTCTGCAGTTGCCAGGACAGTCCAGAGAGCACTGTGACAGGAGCACTGTTTACCAGAGTTCTCAAGGGAGCTCTAGGTGACACCATGTTGACTGTAGCACAGCTCTGGAGGACTAGTCACCCCCCAGGCTCTGCCTGTGGGAAAGGTTGTCTCTGAATTCAGGGCTGCCAGCTGTTTTCACTGGCTCAGAGAAGACCTATGTTGGGTCACCGACTTCTCAGAAAGGCAGGGGTCTGGGAAGAAGGGAAGTGCTTTGAGTGGTGGACAAAGTACTGCTGTTGAGAGTCAAAAGGAGGTACGATGTAGGGAGATATTGACAGAATACTGTGATCATAGGTTTCAAAGCAGTATGTATATAATTCCATTTTTAGTGAAGTGTTAACTCCAAAAAATTAGTAAAAGTTACTTGGGTTTTGAAGTGACAGGTAATATTTGTTTTCTTTCTTTTTTATTTATATTATCTAATCTTATTACAATTAGTATGTATTCCCTGCATAAAGAAAACCAATGAAAGTTATTTTACAAAAGAAAAGGACCTCTCTAAACAAAACAAGTAGCAAGGTGGGAGAAATACCTGTGACAAATGATGACTAGCTAATTTCTTTAATTTAAGAAAGCCATACAAATCAGTAAGAAACAAATGAACAACACAATTGAAAACACAGATTCAGAACAGACAGAAGAGCTATTATTATTACTTCTACTACAGTAGCTACTACTACTGGCAGGGAAAACTTACCCAGTGCTCACTGTAGGCCAGGGACTGAATTGAGTATTTCACATGTATTTTCCCATTTGATCCTCAGACAACTCTATGCAATAGGTACTCTTGTTATCCCCATTTTACAGATGAGGAAGCCAACTACAGCAAAGGTAAGGGATTGCTTTATAATACTGATTGCCACCTATAGAGGTATCGGAGCCCTGCTTGTAACCACAAGTGCCATTCATCAAAGGAAAAGATGACAGTTAAAGAAGTGCAAATAAAACAAAGTGGGACACTCTTCATTTTTATTATCAGATCAGCAGAGGTTAGAAAACTTGATGTTGGGGAGACTGTGGGGAAATAGGCACTTACGTACTGTTGGTGGGAGTGTAAATTGGTGCATCATTTTTTGGAAGGTAGTTTGGAGACATGTTTAAATTATTTGAACCCAGCAAGTGCACTGTCAGGAATTTACCTTGCAGAGGTTTTAGCAAAGGATGTGTGTTGAAGTGGAGTTTTAATAGCACACAACCCAACTGTCCATCAAAAGGTTAACAGTTAAATAAATTATGATTGCCCCATCCAGTAGCTACATATGATGGGCTGATACGGAAAAGTCTCCAGGTCACTGCATAAAGTGTAAAATGCCAGGCCTGGAGCCATCTGTATGCACATTGGCTGGCATCCACACAGCTTGCCCTGAAAGTGAACACAAAAACCCCTTAAGCACTGGGCACCTTTGGGAGGGAGGGCAGGACACGGAGGGAAACTTACTTTCTGAATTTTATATCCTTCCATACTATACTGTGCTTTCTTATTTTTTACCATGTATTTACTACTTTACTATTTTGTTTTAGTAAGTGAACAAATATATTTTTTAAAGGTATAACTAATTAAATCAACAATGAAGGACTGACACATCGCAGCACACGAACCCAGGCTGGCCCCTGACTCGGCAGGTGGCTACCAGTAGTTCCGTGGGGCTGGTTGTCTTACTGTGTAGAAGACAGTATTTGAGAAGAAGAATGAATTGTTATTAATATGTTAAACATATCAAGTGCTGTCTAAACTGATGGATTACTTGGTCTTGCTGGAACAATAGGAAAGCAGCAGACCCTGAGCTGCTGTTTGGATTGACAGTTACTAGTTGCTTGTATGCTTTTTGGGACGTACCGCAGGTCTATAGACACATGGATGTGTCTGCCTGTGAAACTGAGTTACATGTGGCTGTACCTGTCAGTTACTGTTTGGAAAACTTTTGATTTCTCAGACAAACGGAGTCTTTGAAATGCCAAATAACATTACAATAGGGATCTGTAGTTTCAGGGAGAGGTATAAAGGATTTAAAAGGCTTTATATGCACGATTCCAGTGCATAGTATCACCTTGTAACCATGTCTCCCTCCGTCTCACTACCATTATATGTGCTGGTGTGCAGATTCAGGATCTCTGGGAGTTCCTTGTTGAGTTTATGAACTTTGAGCTTTTAGATTTCAATAACATAGGTGGTAACTGAAACAACTCTGAATCTATTTAATAATAAATACAGCATTTTCTTTTCAGATTTCTATTTTAGTGATAGAATAGCACTTACTTTGTAATAAGTCTTTTATTTCTTACAGGATATGAAATAAAGGCATATGTTGTACAGATGCAGTTATCCTAAAGTTACATAAATAAGCTTTTAAATATAATTGCTTTCTTGGGATATAATTCACATGCCATATGACTCACCCCTTTAAAGTTTACAAGTCAGTGGCTTTTAGTGTAGTCACAAAGTTGTGCAACCATCATCATAATCAATTTTAGAATTTTCTTCACACCACCAAAAGCCCTGTGCCCATTAAATATGCTTCTTTAAGGAAGAAATTACAAAGAAAAAACCAATAGTGTGGTTATGCATATGGGTAAATTACATATACATATATTTCTAAAAATCCATATAACCAAAATAAAAGAGCAAAAAGGGGAAGATAAGTGTAGCATATGATAGAAAGGGTAAATATAATAAAAATCTAGATCAATAAAATTAACTCTTGTCTCAGAAGACAAAGGACAGACACTCTCAAAAGGAATACAACCTGTAAACAAAAGTTATTGGAAAATTTCACCCTAATTAATAATCAAAGGCATGCAAATCAAAATGAATGGGTACAGTCTTTTTAACATTTTAATTGCTTAGAATTGTTTTTAAAGTAGATAGTACAAGAAAATCTTAAATTTTGTTGGCAGCTATATATTCTTAAAGCAGTTTATCAGTGTCTATTAAAAGCCTTAAAAATGTTTATTTTCCTTTAACAATAATTCCATTCCTGTGAATCTGAAGAAATACTCCTAAACAGAGGGAAGATTCACAAAGATGTTGATTGCACATTTTTAATAATTGCAAGGAACTGGAAACAACCCTGGAAATAAGAAGATAGGGTGAAGTCCCATCATATCTGTATGTATTTTCTACAGTCACCTGTGCTCACAGGTGGGGAGGGAAGAAAAGAGAAAAGTAATTAAAATCCTGTGAGTGCTTCAGTAAGCATGTGTTTCGGCCTGAGCCTGAGAGGGGAGACCTGCTCCTCCTTCCGTCGGGCTCCGTTCCGTGTGCCTCTTCAAGTGTGAGCCCAAGCGTGACTTGGGTTTGAAGATGAGTGGTTTTTGTACAGAGCCCCCAGATGCTAGCCAACCACTGCACCCGATCTAGTGCTCAGCCCAGGAGAGGGAAACCACCCCCATCTATTCCTCCATCTCTCATTTAAGAGATTTTAAAATGATTATTTTCGATAGCTTTCTATATATATAAATATTCCACAATTAAGTATTTGCTTACATACTCTCTTTATATACTGCACTTGCTGTACACTTTGATAAATTTTTATCAGAAAAGATTATATACTCATGTATATGAGACTTTTGGCTCAGTGCCTATAATGATGCAGTTACCTTGTTTGTCCACTGAATGAAATACTATAAATGGCTATTCAGAATGCTGGTTATGAAGATTATGTAGGAGAACAGAAAGTTTATGCCTACTTAGAGTGTAAAATGAAAAATGTAAGATATGAAGTTATATTAATTGTATAAAAAATGCATAGAAACAATAAGAGACTGGAAAAAAGAAAAATTAGCTTTCAATTGCCATTTCCAGATTGCTGTCTTTGTAGCCCAGGTATCAATATTGACCAAGGACTTAATGCACATCTTGCATGTGTATTTTTAAAAAATCAGTTCCCATTTCTGTGCACATCTATCTGCTGGCAATTTGTCCCTTCTTCCTGCTTGATAACTGTGTGGCCCACAGAATCTCTGACCATACTAATTGAACTTCAGAGTGAAAAACCCAGTTCCTGGTCAGTACGTTAGTATTATTACTAGAATTGTCCCTTTCTGTTGGGCTATCATAGTATATAATGCAGAAGGACAGTTACTAGTAATGCTTCTTGGGAGAAGTTTTTAGCCAAAAGTTGGAGACTTCCCTTTGGAGACAGATTAAATTCAAGCTTAGGAAAGTGGAAGACACTGATATGATTACCCCGTTAAGAGTTATCCTAGCTGATTAGAGTCGTTAAAGTTTCAGAGGTGTGTTAGAGGAAATGTCTTAAGCCCAGAGTAGGAAGTTAGGGACCAATTAGGAGCAATAACAGGTCAGTCTGAAGAGCTGAGCTAAACAGCCAGTCCATGCCTGCAGAGATGTGATTTAGGATATCTATCCAAGTTAATGGGGTACAATTCAAATAAAGCAAAAGTGCCACTCTGAACTGCTGTTCTATGGCTCATGTTAGAGTTCAGGAGAAGGGACATGCTGTGGGACTTGGGTGAGGATATCAAGTGTCCCAAGAATGTAATTTTCCAAATTAGTCCAAGAAGAATAGAGTGAAACCTTGACTGTTCCCATTGGGTAATAAAACACAAAGAAGTCATTGATGCCTAGTTGGACTTCTGCCCGGCTGAGGCCCTCATTGGTGCTGTGTCTTCCCACAGGTGACCCTGCCCTCAGCATGAGCCACTGGATGTTTCACCAGCAGGCCCTGCAGGAGTACATCCTCATGTGCTGTCAGTGCCCCGCTGGGGGGCTTCTGGATAAACCCGGCAAGTGAGTGCCTTCCCTCTGGGGAGAGAGGGATGGGAAGGGGAGACAGGCCCCACCTCGGGCCGCTCAGACCCCGATGGGGCAGGTGCCGATGCTGACCTTTAAAAGCTGTGGAGTCCCTTTCCATCCAGCTGCTTCATGCTAATGTGACATAAGAAGAAGGCCCCCAGCTGGGGGCACCCTCTTCAAGGGCCATCCTGGCACCTCCAGTGCGCAGCTTGCCCCAGCTTACATGCACCCTCCTCTTCAGAACGGTAAACAGATTGCCGGGTTGGCAGCTTTTCTTCCCTCTCTTTTTTTCTTTTAACCAAACTGACTTAAATAGAACAGGATACAGGACTTAAAAATCCCTGAGTCTTGTAAACAAAGATTATAATCATGACAACTATTACAGTAGAATAAATACCTTTAGGTGCCATAATAAAAGAAAAAGCAAAATAAGTCCTGTTCCCCTTTGCTACTCACACCCCCACATCCATGCACATACGTACACATTCACACACTCGCATGCACACCCCACTGCTGTTGGCATCCAGGAAGAGGCCCAGCTGAAGGCCAGTCCCCAGCAGATCATCAGGAAGAATTTGGCTTATTTCTAGGACATTTGGGCACTTTGGCGGGAGGTGGTAGTTGGGGGGATATATTAATTTAGCACTAGCACTATCTTGGAGGGATCTTTCCAAAGACAGTTGGAAGGAGTGACTCTAAAATGTCTGGCAGAGCTACAGAACAGGGCTTTGAATAATGCTGCTGGGGAAAACCAGGCTTCCTGGGGTTGTGCTGTGCAGAGGGCAGGGCGGGATGTGAGTGCGTCCGGGCCTCTGGGTCTGTGCTTGTGTTTGTTCTTGGGGCCGCACTTGGGGTGATCTGTGGGGAGAAGGGAAGCGCCTGCTCAGAGCCACCCTGTCCTTGCAGGTCACGGGATTTCTACCACACCTGCTACTGCCTGAGCGGCCTGTCCATAGCCCAGCACTTTGGCAGTGGAGCCATGTTGCACGACGTGGTCCTTGGTGTGCCTGAAAACGCTCTGGTAAGGTGGGAGGGGTGCTTAACAGCCTTCTCCACAGGTTCCACCTGGAAAGCAGAGCAGCCACTTGCCTGCAGACCTGTGTCTGTGCGTTTCCCGTGCAGACAGGCTGCGGAGCTCACCCTTCCCACCCTCCACCAATTTGCACCCATTTGTGAGGCTGCGACTGTGCAGTAAACACACCTGGAGACAAACTCAGGGTTCTAGGCAGAGGGTGCAATCTGTGACAGAGGTTTTGAATCTTTATTCCAGAGTCTAGGACCCAGACCACTTACCAGTAGTTCCCTCTTGGAGGTGGCTTACTCAGAGGCAGCACAGAGCTTGCAGCAGCTGCTGCCAGGCTGACGCCACCTTCTCCTGGAGCTCAGAGTGCATGAAGCCTTCTCAGACCACCTTCTGTACATGAGATCGCCCTGAAAGGCTCTGCCACAGAGTCTCATTTGTGCCTTCATTGCACTTATGACCATTTGTTATGTGTTTAACTTGTTCTTGTCTGCTTCCCCCAAAACTGTCAGCCCCGCGCCTGTTCCCCACTGCTTCCAGCCCGAGACCAACCTGGCTGAGAGACACTTCTGAGCCTAGACATGAGCCTGAGCCATGAACCCAGCTATGACTTCCCGTAGCCATCAAATAATGGGGCCTGTGCAGATTGGCACAAAATATTTCCAACAGAAGAAACATAAATGGCTAGTAGATGGATGAAAAGATGCTCAGCCTCACTAGTAATCAGAGAGTAACCACCATTCAGCTTTTCCAAGTCTTAGTGTTTTTCCACATTTGCTTCCTATGTAACCCTCTTCTGTTCCCTTCCGTTGCTCCACCCCAGCATAACCCTGTCCTAAATTTGACATTTATCATACTTGTGGATGTTTATGTGCCATAACAACATGTATGTCTCTGCAAACAATAGAGGTGCTTTGTATATCTTTAAACTTCTTTTAGCAATGTCTACTGTACCACATACTGTGCACTGCTTTTCCCACTGACCATTAGGCTTTGGAGATTTATCTGCATCCATATGTGTAACTGGTTTATTCATTTTAACTACTGTATGGTATTCCCTTATATAAATGCCCCAGTTTATTTTTCTAGTCTGCTGTTGGTTAACATTAAGATGGTTTGGGTTTTCAGCAAATATTCTTGTGTTAAGTGTTTCTCCAGCCAAGACTTGCTGGGTTGAAGAGAACACACACCTCCAACTTCACTATGTGGCACTGAGCTGATCCCCCACGTGGTTGGGCTGTTTTATGCTCAAAGGCTCTAAGATGAATTGCTGTATAGTCTGCCTTTTTCTTTCTGCCACTTTGATGTGGAATGGTATCTGTGTTTTATTTTGCATTTTCCTCATTACTATTGAGGTTGAGAAGCTTTTCAAATGTTTATTGTCCATTTCTGTTATGTCTCCTGTGAATTGCCTGCCAGCTCTTATCCTTTGCTGTTTTTCTTACTGATCTGCAATTATAATTGTTCGCTCTCTTCTCATACATTTGTAGGAATGCTCTGGATGTTCCGGATACTAATCCTTTGCTAGTGGCATGTGTGTGCTGAATCTCTTCTAGTTAGTGACTTGTCTTTTCACTTTGTTTTTAGTGTTTTTTTGTTGGGTAAAAGATTTTAATTTTAAAGTGAAAAATTTTATTTGCTTTTTTGGTTTTTGAGAGTTTGGTGGGGGTGGGGGTGGTAAGATTTCATTACTTAAGAAATCTTTCCGTATGCTAAGGTCACAAATATATTTTCTTCTAAATAGTTTAAAGTTCTGCTTTTCCTATCTGGACTTTTAATTCTCTGGGAATTGATTTCTGACCATGGTGAGGGCTGGATATAATTTTATCTTTTTTCCATATGGATAACCAATTGATCAGCACCATTTATTGAAGTTCACAACTTTACCTACTGATGTGTATCACATGAGTGTCACACACTCAAGTTTCTATGTGTCAGGTGACTGTTCTTTTCATCTGTTGATCTATCTGCACTGTCTTAAGCAAATCTTAAATGCAGGTGATCGAGTCCCATCCACCTCCTTTTTCTTCAAAGTTGCCTAATCTTTGCCTTTTACTTTGCCACAAAAAAAAAATAATGGAATTTTTTTGGAATTATATTGAATTTAAGATTAATGGGAGAGAAATGACTTCAGTTTTTTTTGTTGTTAGTTCATATCTTTTAGTAACATATATACAATGATTTATCTTCGTATTTGTTGAAGCAATTGGTCAGACATTTGCCACAGTATCTGTCAAAGTGGCTGGCCATAAAATAAAAACTCCAGCACCACATTCATCTGAAGGGCACTCCTGGTGAAGGCAACTGATTTTGCCATTCTCATCCACTTTATAGTATTTCACAACAGCCAGCTTAACCTTCTTTCTCTTATTCTTATTCTTCTTGGAAGTGGGATACAATTTTCTTAGCATCACCATGATGTCTCAGTATAAGATGAAGAGTGGACTCCTTTTGAGTGTTCTTGTCAGACAAAGTATGTCTATCTTCCAGCTGCTTGCCAGCAAAGATCAGTCTTTGCTGATGAGGAGGAATTATTTCCTTATCCTGGATCTTAGCCTTTACATTTTCTCCTGTGTCCAGGGGTTCAGGTGAGGGTGAGGGTGTTCCCTGTAAGGGTTCTCACGAAAAATCTGCATCTTGGTGGCGGTTCCACTGCAGATGGTGGATCAGAAAAGCTTTTCAATAGTAAGACTTCCCATTTATGAACATAATTTTTCAGATTGTCATACATGTCCTTCAGTGGTCTTTTATCATTTTCTCCATAAAGGACTAGAACATCTTTTGTTAGATTTATGTCTAAAAAATTGATAGTTTTTGTGTCTATTGTGATTGGAATTTTTCCCATTATATTTTTTAACTGGTTGTTTTATACTGATATGTAGAAATGCTGTTGATATTTTTATTTGAATTTTTTTTCCAGCAACCTTGCTGAACTTTCTTTGTAGTTATAATAATTTGTCTATAGACTCTCTTGGATTTTCTATTTAGAATGTAATGTCATCTTCTAATAAGGGCAGTTTGCCTTTTCCTTTCTGATTCTTAAGAATTTTCTTTTTCTTGCCCTGTGATGTGGCTAAGACCCTCATAGAATGTTGACTGGAGGTAGTAATAGAGCGCATTCCTACCCTACTTCTGATTGTAATGGGAAGGTCTCTATAATTTCACCATTATAGAGGGATTTTGCTTGCTGTGGGATTTTGATAAACTTCATATCAGATTAAGGATGTTACCCTCTATCCCTCATTTGCTAGGTTGTTTTTTGTTTGTTTCAATCATGATTTAGGGGTCAATTTTATTGAATGCTTTTTCTGTGTCTGGCTTTTCTCCTATAATATAGTATGTTTCATTAATAAATATATTCTGATGTTAACCTTATATTCCCAGGATAAGCCTTTCTTGGTCATAGAGGAGAGAGAAAGAGAGTATGTGTGTGTGTGTGTGTGTGTGTGTGTGCTAAACACACTGCTGGATTCAGTTTGCCAGTGTTTTTGGCTGGTATTTTTATTTAGGATTTTTTGCATGTATGTTTATGAGAAAAATTGATTTGAAATTTTGTTTTATTGTATTGTCTTTTCCAATGTATGTTTCAGGATACTGTTGTAGCCTCATAAAATTAGATGGGCATCTGTCTATCTTTTTTTTTTTTTTATCTGTTTTAAGTCTTTGAAAAAGTTGTATAGGTTAGATACTATCCATTTCTTGTGTGTTTGATAACACTTGCCTGAGAAACCATTTAGGCCAGTAATTTTGGGTGTGTGTGTTTTGGGGAGGAATGCTGGTAGAATTATAACCAATTATTATTGTTGATTTAACCTATTCATATAGTTTTAAATATCTTCTTGAGTCAATTTTGAAATTCATGCTCTACAAAATTACTCAGTTTATCTGAATTCGTACATATTTTGGCATGAAGTTGTTCATAGTGTTCTCTTAAAATTTTTAAAATCTTTCCTTTAATTATGTCCCTTCTTCAGAGTGAGGAGTCCTGAACACTGGCCTAGGATCATGCCCTGTCTCAGACCTAGAGTTTCTGTTGGGTTTCTGTGATGTAGTGGAATAGCATACAAGAATTTAAATATGGCCTGACACCTTTACTTATGTAGTAGGGTTGTGATTCTTTTTCTTAATTATAATCTAAATACACATTCACTGTTTTAAGAATTGGAATATATATAAAAGTACAAATAAGAACATTGGAAGTGATCTTATCATTGTCCCTATTTTGGTATATGTCCGATTTTTGCCTGTTTGTATACATCACATCTACAGATTTTTAAAAAGTAACTTTGGGATAATATTGTGCATACTATTTTCATCATTTAATATGTTATAAACATTTGCCCATAGCATTAGATATTTGAAAGCCTGTTTTTAAGTGGCTATATAATATTCCCTCATATCCCATATTTTTACCAATACCCTGTTGAACATCAGGGTCTTGTGTGATAAATCTGTGTACATCTTTGAGATTCCTTATGCTAAATTTTTTCTTTTTTAAAATATTATATTGGTTTCAGGTGTATAACATAGTGACTCAACAACTATATATATTACTAGATGCTCACCAGGATTAGTGTAGTTACCATCTGCCACCATACAGATAGTATAATATTATTGATTGTATTCCCTATGTTGTACTTTTCATCCCTGTGACATTTATTTTACATTTGAAAGTCTGTACTACTTTATCCTCTTCACCTATTTTGCCTGTCCCTGCACCCAGCCCCCTATAGCAACCACCAGTTTATTGATAAGTTCTTAAGAGTACATTTAATGGGTCAAAGGCTGTGCACATTTCCAAGGTCCACTGGGATGACTGGTACCTGTTCTTCTCTTTGCAGCAGCCCACTCACCCTGTGTACAATATTGGACCAGATAAGGTGATCCAGGCCACCATGTACTTTCTGCAGAAGCCAGTCCCAGGCTTTGAGGAGCATGAGGATGAGGCACCAGCAGAGCCTGCCACCAACTAGTGGACACAGGGTCCCAAGGCTCTTTCGGTGAACACCGAAAGAGTGTTCACCCACCTCCCCAGTCAGACCAAGGTTTATCTGTTTCGATACATACTGCATTCTATGCTGCACAAGCCTCGGCCACAATCGAGCTGTGGTTCTTTGTCCCTTCTTGTCAAACAAAGCAAAACCAATGGCTCTGGGTTTAGAGAAGTCAGTGGCGTGTTTTTTCAAAAATTCTTTCCACTCTTATCAAACCAAAAATCTGTCAGCCTGTGTAGCATCTGAACCCAGCTCTGGCCTGGCCTGGGTTGGCTGGGAAGCAGTGCATGCTGGGAAGAAGCAGCCCCTCCAACTGAACCATCGTATTGAAATGAATGACATCTCTGAGTATTACAGCATCCAGAGGCACTGCTGCAGTTCTCACTTGCACGCCACCATTAAAGTCTGGAAATAAGACTGCTCCATGCCAAGCGGGAGCTTTGAGTCCCACCAAAATGAATTCTTCAGACAAAACCATGGTGGGGCTTCTCTAGGAGGTCCCCCTGGCTCTGACCTCCTGCCCTGGCCATTTGCAAGGGAAAGGAGCTGGGGTTGGGGAGAAAGGCCTCCTTTAGTTGTGAGTGCCTCGCCCTCCACAGTGGAGAACTGAGCCACACATCTCTCCAAGGCCATGCTTGGCGCACAGGCAGGATTTGCTTCAGTCCCAGGTGTGCTGGCTTAGACCTGGAAACCAATTATGAGTGGAAAATGAACCTCTAGTTCAACTCTGTGGCAAGGAAGCAGCCCCAGGGCCCACCCCATCATGTACAGTGAAGGCCCCTCTGACGTCCTCAAGGCAGCGCCTGCGCCTGTGGCCATTCTGTGTGCTTCCATCTTTTCTCCTACCAGACTCCTGGCCCACCCTCATCCAAAAGAGTGTTGTCTTCTCTCACCCAGAGTATTAACACTACTAAGTCTTTCACCTTAATTTCTGACTCAGGATTTATTCATATCCTGCCCAGTCCAGGTTCAGAGAAATAAAATCAAGTGCTAGACAGGCTGGCTGCTGCTCAGGCAGTGGCCGTGTAAACCTGGCTGTGGCAGGGCCGTGTGCTGTGCAGTGTGCTCGGCCTGCCAGAGCCTCTGCTGCTCATGTGGAACCTTCTCGGTCAGTGGGGCTGAGCTGGTCGTCTGCCCACTGTTGCGGTCACTGCAAGCTCCGTGTCGCCAACCTGGCCGTCATGTAAGCGGCCATGGGCCACAGGGCAGATGGGAGCTCGACGACTCAGCATGCGGCTCTTCTCAGAAACTTGCCACTTGCTGCCTCTGATTCCCTATTGCTTTGGTATATTGGGCTATGTATTACCTCCTTGAAATAATAAAAGAATAACATTTTCTGTGATGTCTCTCATTTGTGACTGGTACCAAGAAAACCCCTTCAGAATGCCCAGTATTAGGAGTTACTGAAGGTTACTCATGGGCTGCCGCCAGGCTCCTGTGTGTGAGATTCCAGACCATGTGTGGTAGTGATTACAGAAGTCTGACCTGGTTCCAGCCTCACACGCCTTCTCCAGTCAGGGTCCTTACAAGTGGGCCTAACAAGGAGTGGGAAAATCTCTGTGTCTCCCAAGCCCCCTTGAAGCAATTCAATTCACTTTTGTCCCAGCACTCCACACTGCATTTCATGGTCTGTGTGTCTGTCTCCTCACCTGACTGTGAGCAGAGACCGTGTTCCTGTGTCCTAAAGCAGGCTTCCAACAGCGGGTGGCTAATGTCCTGACCAGGGGCTGTCTCAGGGACAGGCCCAAGTCCTGTGGTCACCTGGCTTTCCTCCTCATCTGGTGAGAGACCCTCTCCCAAAGGAGGCCAAGGTGGATGCTCTGTGGCCTGATCCTCCTTGATGGAAGAGAAGAGGGTATCCTCAGGGGTAGGGCATAAACCAAATCCACATTCTAGAATGGAATGATGTGATGTAATTCTTTTTTTGCTATGCTATTTTTGCTATGCTAAGGAAAAGGTTCTAGCTCTGAAGTAACACTCTAAACAGATCCTTCCCATCACTACAAAAAGCCAAAGCCTCTAGCACTAGTAGTCTCAAGGTGTTAGGAGATTAATTGCAGTAATAATTGGTGTGATTGAGAGACAAAAGGAATTTCTCCAGTCTCAGCTGGCTTTATACCAAGGAGGGAGGCTTTAAGCTGGGCCCCAAAGGGTAGGCAGAGAAGGAATTGGCCAGGAAGAGAGGGTCATTTACCCGTGTTCTTATCTCAGGGGAGTTTATGCTGGTGTATCTATGAGACTCCCTCTCTGCTCCCAGTTGGGCTTGGAGGGGCATTCAAAGAGGGTCCTGGAAGTAAATTCTCAGATTTATCATGTAGATCCTTAAGTAGAAGGCACTTACATAGCATTTGAAGTGGGTTACCCCAAATAAATATTTCCCCCATCAATAAAGAAATACAAAACTACTACAGATCTCTATCTAGATGGGCCCCACCTTCCCCCTGGACCCATCTCGGACCCACCTTGAGTGCCATGTAAGTTGGGAAGCTGCCAAACTCTACAGTGAGAGGAAGGGCAGTGAGAGGAAGGGGAGCCTTTGGGTAAGCAGAATCTCCCCTGGGTAACAATAACCAGTCAACAGTATTCCTAAACTGCGCTCCCTTCACAGTATTTGTGAGTTAGAAGCCACAAATTAGATTCTGGACAGTACAGTAGTATCCTTGATGAAGACCTCACACAAAAACAGAGGCCATAATATTACATGACAGTTTCATTATGGCCTCCATTGAGGACTAGCCTTAGACCTTGGTATGTTGCTTCCTGGTAATTTAACTTAGCAGAGAGATGTCAGAAAACTGGCAGGGTGGTGGCTTACATAATCTTTGCAATTTATTTCACCAAAATTAACTGTGCTACATGTCTGGCAGGACTTTGATAGCCAGGAGTTTTAAATGGAGCTCACTGATTGCCCTGACTTGTGCTATATTGTTGGTAGAAGTGGAAGCCATCGGCTTCAGATGTCAAATGTACTGATAACAGCACTGACATTCCATTATGAAAACTGAAGAACTTGTCTCTTGTTCTTACCATGCTGACCTCCTTATGGCAGTGGTCACTGGGCTACCTACAGGAATTCACCAGTAGCTTTGGCCTCCCGACTTAGAGGAAAGGGGAATGGCCAGGTGGTAAATGAATGATCTTATGGCTGCAGGCTTCCTAGACTCTGTGTGGCCAGGGCTACCAAGATTCAGGTGCTGCAGAGCCCAGATCTTAACACAGACATAGGATGTCTTTCATTTACTGTCTAGGGTAAGTTCAGTTTGATGAAAGTTTGTTTTCCTAATGCTGGTAACAGGACTTGATGTTGATAGGGTACAGAGGTCTATGATGGAGGTTTACTCTGTGTTGCTTCCACTGGGGGACCCAGGTGTTCATTTCGGGGTAGTAATTTGCTAACATTTGGTTCTTCAACCATCTATACCAGGGGCAGTGAACTTTCTCTATAAAGGGCCAATTACTATATATTTCAGGCCTTGTAAGGAACTACTCAGCTTTGCTCTGCCATTGTAGTATAGCACAGTGACAGGCAAGGTGTGGCTGTATTCCTGGAAACTTTATGAAAATAGGCGGCAGCCCAGATTTGACCCATGGGCTGTACTTTGCCCAGCCCTGAGCTAGACTAAATTCCATCCATATCATTCAGCATTCTTCCACATCTTCCTGACTGGGATGCTTTTTATGTAATACTAGTGTCAAATGACAAATGTATTGGTGAAGTTTGGACCAAACATTATAGCCACCCACAAAGGCAGTGAATAGCCTTTGAATAAGACTTGTATGACAAGACATTATTGCAACTGATAGAAAACCTGACCCAAACTATAAAGCAAAGAGGAAGTGTGCTGACTCGCAGACCGGAAGAGCTGGCATTAGCTTGGCTATCTGTGTGGCTTCGGTAGGTTTCTCCCCGTCCCTGTCTCTGTATTAGCTCCAACCCCAGTCTCTCTGTGTGGTTACGGAACGGCAACAGGAACAGCACCAGATCTTACATCCTCTTAGGGTCAAGTTCAGCAGACAAGAGCAGCTGGCGTTGTCCCAGCCTTCCTTCCCGGTGAGTATCATTGCATTTCGCTGGCTTTGATCAAGGCAAGTACCTTTTTGAGAAGCAATCCAGTGGCCCAAAGATTACAGTGCACTCATTGGCCTAAGTCTTGATCATAAGCTTCTCCCTTGAGTGGGAAATGGGGGGCCATCAGAAGCATATAGTCTCAGAATGGGGCAGGAATGAAGCACAAAATGGAAGTCAAGGTTGTACCAAAAGGGGGAAATGGACACTGGAGAGGCAAATCACCATCATTCTCTACAACACTCACTACAGATAGAAACCTGTAGTGGACATGGCACCTACTTCTCCCCTCCCCATCTGAGGCGGCCAAAAGGCCTGGTGGAGTTTGATCCTCCTCCCACGTCCAGGGCCACGCCTTGATTGGCCTAAGCCAATCATTCTAGTCCATCCTTCTTTGTGTCAGTAATTTGGGGTTTGGCAATAACCCGTCTAAGCCAATCAGCATGGCTGGGCCTAGCCTCAGTGACTCATTCAGAGCCCAGCATGTGGCCTAAAATAGACCAGAGAGAGAAGCCCTGGATATTTGATAATAAGGAAGAGCAGCCCTCTCCTATTAGGGATGGTGCAATGTGTGGCCTGGGATCCCTACAACCATTTTCCTACTTAGAAGGAAGCCAGCCTTAGAAGCCAATACACCTAGACTCCTGAGAGACTTACTCAGAAACTTGGCTAGGGCTGATGACGCTGCTCCTGTGGCCTGCTCTCCCTCTGCATTTTTCAGCTATGTGAACCACTTTGAGATGAATTTACTATTACTTGCAACCAAAAACATCCTAATATGTACAAAACTCTATGCCAGATTAGCCCCTAGGCCATGAAAGTCCATAACTGCTGTCTGAAGAATGTTGACCACCCTTGCTACATCCACTCAAACAATAACCTCTAAGAGAGTCCCTCCTGGCCCACTGCCTCTCCTCATTTGACCTTGACCTACCCTGATGAGGTGGGTGAGGCAGGTGTATTATTTCTGCATTTTACAACTGGACAAACAGGTCAGAGAGCTTAAGTGAATCACCCAAGGTTTCCTGGCTATCAAGTAGTGGAGTCTGAACCTGAATCCAGATCTGCTGCCTCCAAAGCCATGAGCTTCTGCCACCCCAGGTCTCTAAAGGTGAAATGAATGGTCTTGGGGTGGGGGACAGTAGTTCAACATGCATGGGTTAACTTCTGGGCTGTATGACTGAGGCCCCACATACCTGCTCCATCTTTCACCAGGATGAGATGGTGAGAGCAAACAACAGGGGCAGGTGTACCTCAGCCTTCTAACCTGTGCTCAACTCTGTCAGGTCCCTATAAGAGAGCAGAGGCTCTCTGCACCAAATGCATGCCACCACTGCTCAGAGTGTGACGCTGCGTAACTCACAGGCAAGGCCATGGGGAATCAGTCTTGCTGGCAGCTGAGTAAGGCCCTGATGGCAGTTGGCCTCTCCAGCCTGCCCAACCAGCTCCTGGACATTGTCTTTCACTTCCCAGCAATAACCACCTCACCTCTGCTTTTCCCCCGCGGGTGCAGGAGGTCCAGGTGGGCCAGGTGGCTGATGTTCCCTTCCGCTTCTCGGGCACACCAAGAACCAGCAGGCAGGTGGGGACCTTGTGCTCATCATCAGCATAGCTTAATGGAAACCCTTTTCTGCCCTCTGCTCCCCTGCAGAAACACAGCTCTTATAAAATCACAGTAATAATAATGAATTTTTAAAAATAAACTTATTTTAGAATAGCTTTAGATTGACAGAAAAATTGCCAGTGTAGTACAGAGTTCCCATATACCCCTTAGGCAGTTTCCCTATTGTTACCATCTCACATTAAATGCACATTTGTCACAACTAATGAACCAATATTGATACATTATTATTAACTAAAGTCCACATTTATCTGGACTCCTTACTTTCCTCCTATTGCCCTTTTTCTGTCCCAGCATCCCATCCGGGACACCTCATCACATTTAGTCACCGTGTCTCCTTCAGCTGCCCTTGGCTATGACAGTTTCATGGTTTCCTTGATTTGGGTGACTGACAGCTTGGAGGCATCCTGGACATTGTCCCTCAACTGGGATTTGTGTGAAGTTTCTCACAACTAGACTGGGGCTCTGGGTTTTGGGGAGGAAGACCAACGAGGTCAGGTGCCCTCTTCTCACATCATATCAAAGGTACATGCTATCCATGTAGCTTGTCAGCAAGGATGTTAACCCCGGTCACATGGTGGAGCCCGTGTTTGTAATGCTTCCCCACTGAAAGATGCC